CTCCTGAAAAATTTGTTCAATGTAACTTAGGGCTTTTTGGATTTCATATGACGATATTATTTTTGCCTTTTATCGAAATAGGTGTCAAAATTGTCCTAATTTTTAGCTTATACAGAAAAATGTTTAAAAAACAGTTTGGCATTTAATATAGTTCATTTCAGATTTTTTGTAGTTTTTTTTTTTTGGAAAATAATATGCCCCTTGTAATACATTAAAAGTCGTTTTGCGGTCCACAAATACACTAACAAAAATATTATTTATTTTTCCCGCGATAAGCTCAAAATTACGGAATTTTTGATACCCATTTCGTAAAGATTGCATAAAATGATTTTTGAACATATTGCACTGAGATCAAGATTATCAATCGCATGTAGGGAACTGAGGACCTTTTCAAAAAAATTGTTTTTTATTTTTCTCGTATGCAGTACATTAAAACGCATCGTTTGAGAGGTATTCATTCAAAAAAGTGGTCCTCGGGACACCCTAATGTTTAATCAATCTGTTCTCAGCGATAGAGTTGTAATTATGGCGAAACTAATAAGGTGAAGTCATTTCAACAGCTGATTGTTTTTTGTCCATGGAAATTTAGCCCGAAGTTGTCAAACTCAATATAAAAAAATTCTCTCTCAAACACGACGCTGTCAAACTACATACAGTGAATCAACTAAGTTTTTTGCCTACCTTTTTTTAAGAGAATTTTGTTTTTTGTTCATAAATAAAATTCAAAAAACAGGTAAAAAGTAAATTTATGTTTTCCAGTTGAAAATAGAGATTGTGTAGAATGGGAAAAGCAAGAAAAAAATATTAAAATAAAAATTTTGGTGCATTTTTTGTTGCATTTTATTATTTTTCATCAGAATTTGCACGTCAATAAAGTATTTTGCATATTGAAATTTCCAGTTAATTTCGTTGGGTTTTTCAAATTATTTTTTAATTACTTTTTGGAAGTTATTGTTTTATTGTTAAAAGGACACGTGTTAAGTATTTTTCAATTGGAATTTTCAGAAATCATATCCTTATTGTGTGAAACTGTGTAGTTATTCGCGTTAAAAATGTTTAAAGGGAAATAATGAGGCAAATCAAATATAAAAAATTAGTTTAGATTTTTAGAACAAGTATAAATCAATGGAATTCAATTATGAGATGTTTAATCAATCATTAAAAAATATAAAATATAGAAATTGATGAATTAACACAAAGAATTATTAAAAAAAAACGCACTGAGTTGTCTTTCAAAATCTTTAACTGCCAAAGGAGAGCGACTTGTATCCAAGCAAAAACCATTGAAGACCTCATTTATCTTCTCCAAAGTCCGTATACGAACTTAAAAGAACACTATGTTTAAATTTAGATCTCTAAACAGACCTTAGGTTGCTTGGAAACAATATAAAGTGAACTATCGTGTGGTGCGGGAAAAATACTTAATTTAGGTATTTACAAATAGAGGCGGTTCTCATCACCTAAGATCCACAAAAGCAATATTTTTCAGCTAATACATACACTTATATATAGTTAGAACCCAAATCAAGAATAACTATCCAAATCCAGCTACGCCTACTGTATTTTATTCATAAAATAATGCATTCAAAATATGAGGTAGAATATCAAAATTCTAGCATGTAAAAGTTCTATAGTGGTATACGGTGATATCCCCATACTTAGAGTGGCTAGGATAGTACTTAGTGTTAGCTTTATTGAATAAGAATCAATATTATACAATTCTAAATAAAATTCACACAGTACTCCCCAAATTGATGGGGTTTCCGTAATGTAGTTTTTGTTTATCAATACAAAATGACCAAAAACCTAGATTATTTTTGTTATAATCTATAGATTTATACCCCACTAATATTTTTTCTAGGTCCAAATCCATTGATTTCCTAATATATCATGTATCCAATTCAAAATTACTTATTATTTTCGAAATTAAATCAAAGAAATGATAGATTTCATGTTAAGTCAAATATTGAAAAATTCTTATAGGTATATAGGATAATAAATCGGTTAAGAAATGTCCAAACTTAGTCGTTCCACTACTAAAATATCTAAAAAATGTTATTCTAATATATAGGAGTAATAAAAATATTAAATTTTATAAAATAATGCAGCAATATTAAAAAAATTAACAAAAAACCTAAAAAAGCAAAATACTTTATTGACCTTAAAAATTAACAATACGTTCACATTTTATCAAAAATCTCGTTAATTAATATTACGATTTTTCTTTTTATGGTAGAAAATTAAAATATAAGATATTCTTTAAAAAATACAACAAGCAAATTGCTTTATTTTGCTAAAAATAATTGTTCAGATAAAGTTTTTTCTTAAAATTTATAAAATTTTACATAGGCAAATCACTTAATTGATTCACTGTATATACAGTGTCTCTCATAATTATTCGAATTTGGGTAAACTATAAAAAGAAACCAAATTTAATAATATATTTTGTGTGCAAAATAAATAAATTAATTTGTTATATTGTCTAGATAGTCCTTATGTTTGATATCACGCTTTTTAAAAATTGAAAAATTTTCATTGACTTAAATTAATTGTGCTTTTTTAAAAAAAGTCCATGAAATTGCCTCACAAAAGTATACGAATTTTTCCTGTATTTCATATTTGATCATATTATACGCAACACAAATTTTAGAATCAAATGGTTTTTATGCGTAATATTGTTTTAAGGGGTTACTATCCACGGAAAGGATATATTTTTGGCCCATTTGGTCCACAATTTTGGGGAATTTGTACCCTGTTTTCATGTAATATCATTAAAATGGCGATTTTTGGCCATAATTGCAAATTTTTCTCCTTTTTTCCAGAGATAAAACAAAAATTTGATATTGGGACTTAAAAGACCCCTTGGGGTATCTAAAAATAATATTTTTTGTTACAAGATTCTGTATTCAAACGTTCCAAGATAAATTATTCGGATCATTTTTCTGTCGCTAATTCAATATATTGGAACTTAAGTCCATTTTTATAATACTAGGATCAACTATTTTCCGGGAAAGTTTTCTGGTATATATTCTTTTAGATATTAGCTTTTATACATTTTAAGTTTTCAATGTGTTGTGGAAGTGTACAACTCCAAAACATGCCTCGAAGAAGCGCCATTCAAAATAGTAAAATCATTATTTTTATATACCAATGGCCTCCATGCTGCATGGCACGATATCATTATGATCACATCAAAAATGTTGATATGTGTTTAAATATTATTTACTATGATCAAATTAAAACCAAAATTTAGGACTTACAGTGTTATTGTAACGGGCAACATAAGCGTGAAAGTTACGAGTAGTAAAAACTGAAATCTACTATATAGGATGACGTTTTGTTAAGGCATGTTTTGGGGTTGTATGCCGCTATAATATATTGAAAATTTAAAATACATTAGTGCCAATATGTACATCAACATACACTAGACAACTTTGTCGGAAAATATCGTCCCTAGAGGTACGAAAAGGGACTTATGATCCAGATAATTCAATTAGAAACTGAAAAACGATACCAAAAATACATCTTGGAACTTTTAAGTACAGATCCTTATAACAAAAAATATTATTTTTAGATACCCTATGGGTTCTATTAAATTCCAATATTAAATTTTGGGTTTATCTCTGGAAAAAGGGTGAAAACATTGCAAATATAGCCAAAAATCGCCATTTTAATGATATTACATGAAAAGAGGGTACAAATCCCCCAAAATTGTGGGCCAAATGGGCCAAAATATATCCATGCGGTTGATAGTAACCCCTTAAAACAATATTAAGCATAAAACCATGCGATTCTAAAATTTTTGTATCGTATAATATGATCAAATATGAAATACAGGAAAAATTCGCATACTTTTGTGAAGTAGTTTCATGGACTATTTTTAAAAAAAGCACAACTAATTTAAGTAAATGTAAAGTTTTCAAGTTTTAAGGGGCGTGATATCAAAACTAAGGACTATCTAGACAATATAACAAATTAATTTATTTATTTTCCACACAAAATATATTATTAAATTTGGTTTCTTTTCATAGTTTACCTAAATTCGAATACTTATGAGAGACACTGTAAAAAATTTCATGAATTCGCCGCAAAATGAAATGACTTCACCTTATAGTCTATTCGCCTTGGTTGTAATTTTACTAGTGTTTACTTTCAAATAAGTAAAATAACTTAAAAATCGGTGACCATAAAAAAATGATTTTTGGAGCTAATTTAACAAATTATCTACAGTGGGAACTATGAAGTAAAGTTCTACAGGTTGAATAAAATGTCGACTTTTTTCTTTATATATATAAAACGTCGACTTTTCGATTTTTGCGTTTTATGAACATTCGTCTTTTCGAACATTTTTTGATTTGACTACTCCGACTTTTCGAATTTTTTCGATTTATTTTGACTTATTTTGAACTTTTTCGACTTTTTTAAGGTGGTACACAACACGCGTTGTACGCAACAACACGTTATATGATGCTTTTGTAAAAAAAGTTGAAATATGTAGTGTATTTCCATTTAACAAGTTGCTAGTAACGCGTCTGCCGCGAAAATTTCACCAACTTTCAACGCGTCGGCAGCTGATCAGGGTTGTATTTCGTTTTTTGCAGAATAAGAATAAACCAAAATGAAATACAAAAAAAAAAAAATATATTAAAAAATACTGGAAGAAAAAAATTAAACATTTTGGATTGTTGTAATTTTTTTATTATTGTTGGAAAAAACTTAAAATTTTAAACTTTTCGACTTCTTCCGACTTTTTTTTACAATATAGTCGATAAATTAAATAAAATCGTTAAAAATTAAAAAAATTGTTAAGGGCCAAATAGACTACACAAACGGCTTGACAAACACACCAATATTTTACGTCCATCCATTCATCCATTACACCATCTCAAAAAGAAAGCACTAGAAATTTCTTCTACTGTACTGTTTTGTTTAAGTTGGCAATAACATATTAAATTTTCGCAATAAAAAATGCAACCAAATATATAAATGCACTTTGAATGCAACCATGAGCATTTTTAGATCCCGTTATATTTTACTAAAATTTAGATCTTTTCTGCATAATTAATTTTATTTGATGGACATTTTGTAAAGATGCATCGAATGCCTCTTTTAATACCTACCCCATCCATATTGTGGGATCGCAATCTGCCGGAATGGGTTTTATTTGAAAGGACTCTAAACAAGCCTAACGTAGAGTAAGATTTTTATTTTTCGTTCGTACCAATTAGTGACAAATTTTTCAAATTAGGGAGACGAACGCTTTCCTTACAATATTGGACTCTGAAGCTGATTTCTACAACAGCAGTTCATATAGAATGGGAGAAGACATGTTTTCTACAGCACAGCGTTATCTGAAAGATAATAATCCTGCAGCTTTGGCAGAGGTACGTATAAACTAGAATGAACAGTAGGATAATTAAAAGATTCCATTAATGTGTCCGGATATAAATATAAACAGACTTTTCTACGCCATATATATCGTCACCTGAAACGCGAACTGCCCTAACTAACCAAAAATTCAAAATCGACTTTATTGTTAATTTTAATGAGTTGTATCAAAACAAATTTGAATAATCGGACCAATTTTATTAACAAAAAACAATATAAATACAAAAACATTAAAATATTAAGGGGTATATTTCCGAAATAGTTTTCGGCTTTCGCTTTAATTTGGTGTCGTATTTTAATAATATTTTCAGTGCAGTATTGTAGGCCATTCTCTGAAGCTTCAGAAAATGTATCAACATTAAATTAGTCTTTAATATAAAAAAAAGTTGCTTTTTTCATAAAAATATTAAAATGTAATTGCAAATGCAGATTTTTTCAAATTGTTATTTCATAAACATAAATGAAAAAACATTAGAAAATTGATCTTGGATATGAAAGATAAAAGAAAGTACTTTAATAACACAAATTTACAAATGAATACTTTTTGTTTGCTCATGGAAAGAAACATACATATTTTTGGAAAGGGCTATTTCCGATTGTTATTTAGCATATTTATTTAGTAGTGCTGGGAAAATATTTAAAAATGAGTATTAATTTTCGGGAGCTTGCACTGTTTTGGGAACCTAACAATTAACTCAGAAAAAATTTAATAATATAAAATTTAGGACTTCCTTAACCCACTTTTTAAGAGTTTCTTTTCTTTTTCCTGATTTTTAGTCATTTTTTGATACATTTAAAAAAAATATTAATTTCTCATTTATATTTTTGTTCATAAATAAATCTACGTTGAAATAATAGTACTGGAACGACATATTGTAAAAACTTGCAACCCAGATAAGGACGGTAACAGACGTATAATTAAAATAAAAATTTACAGAAAATCGGTGATTGTTTTAAAAATGCTATTAACAATGTTTATGTTATGATCAGGACGCACTAAGTAAGGTGAAATCGTCAAGGCAGCTGATTTTTATTTGTTTATCTAAAAAGTGCTTGGGTTATGTCAAAAATAATTTATTTATTTTTATTCTAAGAGCGTGTGCCAAATGATAGCAAAGTTCTATATGGTGGATTATAATTTTCCTATGTTGGGAAAATTTTTACATTTTGCTGTGCCAAATGATATCTTTTCTTGCTGAGATAAATTTTGACTATTTTCACTTATTAATCCTAAAAATTTAACACATCCAACAAAAATAAACATCCTTTATGAATTTTATAAATGAATCTTTTTCATATGAAATGGATTTTAAATGTTTCATTTTTTGTTTTTCATTTATTTATTTTCTGTACCCCGTTTCTGTAACTTTTAGTGAGAAGTTCTCACATCGAGAAGTGTGAAACAAAAAATTCCATCGTTTCTCGATTTGGGAGTAAAAAGTGTTTCTGTAACTTAAAGTGAGAAGAGGCAACACGAATTACGTTTTTATTGGATATTTCCAATAAAACAGCTGTCAAAAACATAAAAATAAAATGAAGAAAACAAAAATTGCCAGACAAATTTATAAACAATGATTAAATTAACAAAAAATATAGGAATTAAATAAAATGTGTTCAAAAAATTGTCCCAATAAATTCTCCCCTAGCCAATTCTAAGTTTATTCCCACATACTTTTTCTGCTTTTGCTTCTGTATATCGAAAATTCCTCCAATTTTCTAAAAATTAGTGGACAATATTAATTTTAATGTTAATTAATTATAAAAATATCATTACTTTTTCATTATTTTATAGAATTTATGTTTAAATTAAACTTTTTTTCCTTAAAATTTTACTTTCCGCACCGTTTTAAAATGTGAGTTTTTTTGACAGCTCATGTGAGAAACTTCTCACAAAATTTTCTTACAGAAACACTTTTACTCACAAATTTCCAATAACTTACGTCAAAAAACTTAAATGACAGATAGTTCTCACAAAAAGAAATTACAGAAACACTTGCATGTGAGAAATGATATTTTGTTCCAATTCACATTGTTTTTTCTTCAATTTCACTGTTTCATGCGAGAAATTTCTCGATGCGAGGCACTGTTTTGTAAATTTTTTGTTTTCATTTGTCAGAAATTTATGTAGCCCAATGAGCTAGTAAAATTTACTTTTACCAAAAAATTAAATTTGTGTTTTCAAACGAAAAAATTTCAAACCAAAAAAACAAAAATTATGAATGAAAATGCTGATAATTGAAGAAAATCATATGAAACAGCAATAAGACGTTGTCCTGCTGCGAATACAATTTAAATGTAACGACGGTTTTATACACTGAAAAAAATTCATGCTTAATATGTACGAAAAATGTCGTACATTGTACGAATCGTTCGTTGTTTCGCACCACGAAATTCTTTCGTAATATATACGAAATTGTACGAAATATTTTAGTGTAATGCAAAATAATCTTGGACAAATTAAATTACATAAATTGAAAAAAGTGAATTTTCAATAAATATGGTAAAATTTACCAAATATTAATTTATGCAAAACATTTCTGTTCATTTAAAAAAAAAAAATTTAATTTTAGTTCAAAATTATTCTCTACACGAATTTTTAATTTTTTTATGAAAATAATTCGTGAATAATATTATACTTTTTCTTAAATTTTATAAAAATGTTGTAGTTTTATTTAATGATAATTTTATTTATATCATTATGTTTAATTTCGCTAAAATTTAAGAAAAAATATTACGAAAGGTTTTCGTACTTTCGTAAAAATAGAAAAGGGTTTTACTAAATAATATTACGTATTATACACGAAATTTTTGTAAATTTTACGAAAATAGAAGTTACGAAATTTTTTTCGTAAATTTGACCATGGATTATTTTCAGTGTAGGTAATATTGTGAAATATTTATTATTTTTCAATTTTAGAAATTTCATTTTGACAAACCCCAACACCAAACAACAAAGCAAATACATAAATATGTATTGTGCCATGGCATAATCATTTACAGGTAGTCCCAATTCTACAACAAATATAAATAAGCAAAAACAACACTTATTTTGTTTTTGTAAAAATATTTTCCTTGGAACCAGAGAAGCACATAATCTGGTACCACGGGAACCGGTAGCCCGCACGTCAGAGTTTCGGACTTTGTCTTGTCCAGGTCAACAGATACCCGAGAGGAGTGACAGTGAGAAATGAGTTGGTGTGAAGTGTATATGATACTGGATGAATGTAGGGGTCTGTGGACCTTATCCGTATACCTAGATTGAATGTGTCGGATATTTTTCGCTATGAGTGTTTAGGATGAATGAGAAATGTACTGAATTGTATGGTGGTGTATGTTAGGTATCTTATACAAGTGATACCATTGAATTTTCCTTCCTTGCCCAGGTATGTTCAGGGTTTACTCTGTTCATACCATGTTTACCACAGTGTGTTCTCTGTGTGTAAAAACAGAGTCCTCGGCTTATTTGATGAATTCGTGTTTCGGTCTACCGAATATGTCTCTTGGTTGCAACCATCTGCGTGGTTGTAAACGGAAGAAGACTTTTTACATCTCGGAAGTTAAGCAACTGGGCAGCAATAGTCAGAGATTAGATAGCTCGAGCACTTGATCAAAGTTCTTGTATATGGACCGGCGGAACCATGTACAAAAATTGTCACCTGCGTGTAAGAAGCACAAAAGGGCGGTGGTGAGTCATCTAATGAGCTCATTATGTGGTTGAAAAAGTACCACCATCTTGTACACTTGCATCCCTTTTCTTTTAAAGTGCTGCGGAATAGTATTTGTACAATCAACTTCATCCGTATTTAGCTGGATCGACGCGTTTAACCTTCTTTTACTATTTTTTTTTCTTGCATAAAATGTTGGCGAATTATTAAAAACACACATTTTTGAATGTTTGTTTCTAACAAAAAGAATTTAAAATAAACAAACTTTGACAATTAGAAAATATAAAACAAAATAGTAAGCTGCCTTATTGACTTCACCTGTAAATTAATACATCTTGGTATTATTATACTTTGCTTATTACATTCATAAGAAATAAACTCATTTAAAACGAATTTATGACAACCCCACAGAAAATTTTCAGAGTACTCGGAATTGTAACCAATGTTGTGTGCCTTACTTTGTGTTACTTATAATTTGATTTACTTGTATATAAAATCTGGATATGAAGTTTCAACTTTTAATAAAATTTTTTTGCATTACATCTTAATATACTTGTGATTAACATTGTATATGAGAACAGAAAATTAAAATATAAAAAAATCATGTGTGCTGTAATTTAATCAACAAAAAATTGTTCATTTATTGAAAAATATTTTTTGGATCAAAATTTTTTCCATGTTTAGATAAATTTTAAGCAAAATTTATTGCTTAAAATTAGGATCATGATCTAGCGATAATTGGAATGGCCTTATATTTATGAAGGAATTTGTAGATACATGTATTTGGGTAGCATTTTTTAAAAAATATACATATTTAGATACTTCTTAATACACATGTATTTAACCTAGAAAGTTGTTGTAGATACTTTTTGATACACTTGTGCTCCAGCTAGAAAGGTGCTGTAGAAACAATTTTACTTACTAGGTATATCGGTAAGGATGTAGGAATAGCTACTTTTCCACACACAAGTATATTATAAAAAAGTATAATCTACACACAATATCGCAAACCGAGTATATCAGTTAGTGTGTCATTTTCAAGCGGCCATGTCCTGTGTAAAGTAAGCCAGAGTGTGTGTAAGTTTGTAAGCATTTTCGAATACAAAATAAGCAATACAATATCAATGTAGTAAGCTATAAATTTTCTGTGGGGAAATAACCCAACAGAAAATTTTTAGAGTACTCGGAAAAGTGACCAATGTTGTGTGCTTTACGTTGTGTTACTTATAATTTGATTTACTTGTATATAAAATCTGGATATGAAGTTTAAATTTTTAATAATTTTTTTTTTTTTTTGCATTACATTTTAATATACTTGTCATTAACATTGT